GCATAACTGATGGTTTGTAAACTCGTATACACACATAGACACCTTTGTAAATATTTATTTTTAAGAATACACATAAAGTATGAGTGGGTACCTGCAATAAGAATGTTGCTCTTTCTTATCATGCATAATCAAACAGCTCAGCACACTTTCATCGAAATTGAAATTTACTGAACTGGAGCTAGAATGGAGAACAAGCAAACACGAAGAATGCAAAAACTACTTTTTCTCTGACAGTAAGATGAAAAATTCCATATTCGCCAACTTGAATGTTATTATAGTTGATGATAATATATTGGCCAAAAATAGAAAAGCCATTTAGGTAATGGTTGAAAATCATGAATCGTGTATTTTTGGAATGCCAAAATCATAATTGTAATAGCAAATTAAAGTTATGATTAGGGTTTTCAATTATAAAGGGAAGATTACTTTCTGCATCGTCTTGAGATGGCAGATACTTTGGTGACCCTGTGGTAATGGAAACAGGCATACTGTTAAATGCAGCTGGTGACCGCTCATCTGTCAAGTTTCCAAAAGACGGGCCTCCTAATACTTCCGGTGTGACACCGGAGACAGAACCAGGTAAGGAAGAGGTTATTATAGTTGCCATCGGCGTTGCCACAATGGTTGAAGTAGCCGTGACCAAACAGCCGGTTGTTGTGATATTGGCAGACGTGGTAGTTCCACTGCCGGTTCCAGATGGCGAAGGTGAAGGCCCACCATCAGTGCTGTTTGCCAGCTTAATGCGCAATGGAGGTACGCGTTGAGCAGATGATCCAACTAGCAGCCCAGAATGATTTACAGACTGGGCAGGTTCCTCATCACTAGCAGTTGAAGAGTTGAAAGAGGAAAGACTGGGCAATGCGCCTGAAGTAGGTTTGGTCTGGGATTCAAAGAGAGCAAATGAGCGTCAGATAAAAGATAGAAAGGAAGAAGAGAGGTATCGCAAAAAGCATGAAGATTAAAAAACTATAAAGCAATGAGTTGTATGTGGCAAAAATAAGTCTCTTGAAAAAGTATGTGAAAGAAAAAAAATCGAAGTTAATCGTCTGAGCATCAAAGCCTCGTGAAATTAGGGTCGACTAAGGCCTAAATATTCATCGGTTATTCTACCTATTAAGAGATGATATGATAGCTCCCTGATGTGAACAATTAAATGAATCAGAAGTACACGGATAATGTTGATGATTGATACAAAAAAAGACTAAATCAGTTCATTATTTCTGTAAAGGTTACTCTAAAAGAGTCAAAAAGAGTCCCATTTCCTCATGGAAAAACATCTATCAAAGATCCCAATCATCTGTTTGAACACCCTATTGAC